ACATCAGGAGCGTCTGCGAGCGACGCGTGAAACATCTCTTGCGTGAGCGCCGGCAAGTTGAAGTAGCCTTGCGTCGTCGACGAGCTGCGGATCCAGATCTCACCGACGAGGCCGTCGGGCTGCGTCCGGCGTGTGTCGGCGTTGACAATCCGCACGTCGACGGATGGTTCGCCGCACCCGACCATGTCCTTGACGTCGTTGGCGGGCGTCGCCGCCGTCGCCTTCTCCATCTTGTCCTCCGACTCGAGCACCGATTTGACGACGCGGAGGTGCGTGAGCGTTGGCGGCGAGTCACACACGTACACCGTGTGTTCGGCGAGCCCGTACGTCGGTCGAATGACGCCGCGCGGCAGCCCCAACGGCGAAAACGTCGCATAGAACGCGTCGATCGCGTGGACATCGACGGGCTCGGCGCCGTTGATCATGTGGCGGACGCTCGAGAGGTCGAGAGTGGGCGACGGCGATTGGAACTTGCGCGCGCAGAGGGCGTAAGCAAAGTTGGGCGCCTGGAGATGCGTTGCCTTGTGCTTGGCGATGAGCGCAATCCAAAGGGACGGGTTCTTGATGAACGAAAAGGGCGAGAGGTAGACGCCGTTGCCGCCTAGAGAGTCGTTATGTGCGCGATCATAGCGCAGGGAGGAGACCCGAGAAGAGGATGCCCAAGTAGGCGCCGATGAGCCCCATGTCATGGTACTGCGGAAGCCACGAGACAACGACCGCGTCCTGGCGCGCCGCGAGCGCGTCAACAATCAGATGCAAGTTACTCGTGAGATTGCCGTGCGAGATCATGACGCCCTACGTTGGTTGTCTGTTGGCGTACTCGCACCAAGGAGACTATTCCTACCTTGGGATCGGACGTCGATCCGGACGTGTATTGCAGAAACGCAATGGCGTCGGCGCTCGGCGCTGCAAGCGTCATCGAGCTCGGCGCAGGCGCGTGGATGAGCCGGTCCGTCTCGACCCAATCGAGGTCGGGCCATGGGTAGCGCTCCGAGAACGTCATTTTTTGCTTGATGTCGAGAATCTTCTTGACGTGGTTGTAGCTCGCGCACGTGAGAGCGGTCTTGGCGCCGGCGTTCGAACACACGGTCGTAAACATGACAATGTCCTTGCGCAGCTTGCGCGGGTCTTCGACGTAGGATATGAGACAAGAGACGCTTTAACAATGCAGATACCTGGAGGGTAGACGGGCACGGCAACGACGCCAGCGCGCAAGCACGCAAGAAAGGCCACGATAAAGTCAAGGCCCGGCGGATACACGAGCAGCACCTTCTCGTCCGGCAAGAGACCCATGCTACGACGTCAAATGAGTCCAGACTCGTACTCGTAGATAGCTTCGCACCCTTTGGACGACGCCGGTGCACGCATCCAGCGGGCGAGGTTGAGCGTACGTTCGTCCAGTTCCTACAGGCATGCTGTTGGAGCATGGTCGCATGGCGGCGCCTCTACCTTGTACGTCAACGAGGCCGTGATGATGCCATTGTCGTCAGCAAAGGCGTAGACCGTCTATGCAGGAGGGATGCTTAGAGCCATGCTCGCACGATCGGCCGGAAGCGGACCTTCTCGGGCTGCTCGGCGCCCCAGCGGTCCAGCCGCGCCAGGAGGGTATCGGCCATGCCTAGAAACTTACAAACTGGCACCTTGTGGATACTTGCTTTTTATAAACGAATCGTGTCTACAAATATCAAGTCATATAATCGTTGGGAAAATATCGAGGTGCCGGATAATGTGCTGCTGTCGCGTATCCGGATACACGTTGCAAAAATCCTGGGCGCAGAGGTCGTGCCACGACAGCGACGACGCAGGGCGACGACGGGCAACCTCGCTCGCCGCCACATCGACACCTCTACAGGCGACGACGATGAAGCCAACGTGGGCGCGCCGCTGTACGAGCAGCGTGAAGCATGTTTGTGCTTTAGAAGCGACTAGCTGCCATGGATCTACTTGGCCGGCTTGGCCATGTCGTCGAGCACTGCGTACAGGACGGCAAAGAAGCCGACAATGACCGCCACGATGATGGCCATCGTCAATGGGCTCGTCGTGTTCTCGATCGCGACCTGCGCCGCCGCCGCCTGCTCTTCTTCCGTCGCTTCGGTCTCTTCGGGCTCTTCCTGGACCTGGCGCGTCCATCGCTTCTTCGTCCGAGCAATCGCCGCTACCCATGTAGATGCATGAGCTTTCGACATCAAGAAACGATGGGATGATCACCGGCGCGGGCGATCTGCGCGTTCTCCGCCAGCTTCTTCTCTTCCGCCAAGTTACGCACGGGCGGTTGCTTCTTGCCCTTGGATTTCGTCGCGACAGGTGGTTCGTCGACGGCATCATCTTCGTCGACAACGTCGTCACTGCGCGCGTACAGAGCCGCAGCCGTCAAGCCGCGACGGTTGGTCGCCGCCACGGTGTCTGGGAACGTCTCGGAGAGGAACGCTCCGACGGGTGACGGCCATGGTTTTTTCGGATCGCAGTGGGCTGCTTCCGCGTGCAAAGGGAGGTCGCCGGCGTGGTTGGGAATGGCTTTGGCGCCCTATACACATGTTGTGTAGAGCAGGACCCTTCGAGTGACGTGGCGTACGCGC